ATCTTATCAATCGATGCAGAAAAGGCATTTCACAAAGTCCAACACTCATTCATGATAAAAACTCTCAACAAAATAGGAATAGAAGGGAAATTCCTCAATATAATTAAGGGCATTTATACAAAGCCAACAGCCAACATCATCCTAAATTGAGAGAGTTTGAAAGCATTCCCCTTGAGAATGGGAACCAGACAAGGATGCCCTTTGTCATCACTCTTATTCAACATTGTACTGGAGGTCCTAGCCAGAGCAATTACGCTAGAAAAAAAAAAAATTAAGGGCATTCGAACTGGTAGCAAAGAAGTCAAAGTATCTGTATTTGCAGATAATACAACTTTATATGCAGAAAATCCCAAAGAATCCACAAGAAGACTACCGGAACTAATAGAAGATTTCAGCAAAGTATCAGGATACAAGATAAACATACAAAAATCTGTTGGATTCCTCTACACCAACAAAGAGAACTTCGAAGAGGAAATCACCAAATCAGAACCATTTACAATAGCCCTCAAGAAGATAAAATACTTAGGAATAAATCTAACCAGAGATGTAAAAGACCTATGCAATGAAAACTACAAGACACTACTGCAAGAAGCCAAAAGAGACCTGCATAAGTGGAAAAACATACCTTGCTCATGGATAGAAAGACTCAGCATTTTGAAAATGTTAATTCTACCCAAAGAGATCTACAGATACAATGCAATCCTGATCCAAATTTCAATAGCATTTATTAATGAGATGGAGAAACAAATCACCAGCTTCATATTGAAGGGAAGAGACCTAGGATAAGTAAAGCATTACTGAAGAAGAAGAACAAAGTGGAAGGCCTCACGCTACCTGATTTTAGAACCTATTCTACTGCCACAGTAGTCACAACAGTCTGATACTGATACAAGAGATACATAGAACAATGGAACAGAATTGAGAATCCAGACATAAATTCATTCAGCTATGAGCAGCTGATATTTGACAAAGGCCCAAAGTCCATTAACTGGGGAAAAGACAGTGTCTTCAACAAATACTGACTTGACTGGATATCCATCTGCAAAAAACTGAAACAAGGCCCATACCTCACACCATGCACAAAAACTAACTCAAAATGGATCAAAGACCTAAATCTAAAATCAAAAACGATAAAGATCATGGAAGAAAATATAGGGACAACGCTAGGAGCCCTAATACATAGCATAAACAGAATACAAACCATAAGTAACAATGCAGAAACACCAGAAGAGAAGATAGATAACTGGGAGCTCCTAAAAATCAAACACTTATACTCATCAAAAGACTTCACCAAAAGAGTCAGAAGACAACCTACAGGCTGGGAGAAAATTTTTGGCTATGACAAATCCAATCAGTGTCTAATCTCCAAAATGTACAAGATACTGCAAAACCTCAATAACAAAAAGCCAAATAACCCAATTAAAAAATTGGCAAAGGATACAAACAGGCAGTTCACCAAAGAAGACATTCACAGAGCTAACAGACACGTGAAGAAATGCTCACGATCATTAGCCATTAGAGAAATGCAAATTAAAACTACAGTGAGATACCATCTCACCCCAACAAGGCTAGCATTAATCCAAAAACACAAAATAATAAATGCTGGAGAGGTTGTGGAGAGACTGGAACACTTATACATTGTTGGTGGGAATGTAAAATGGTACAACCACTTTGGAAATCGATTTGGTGTTTCCTTAAAAAGCTAGAAATAGAAGTACCATTCGATCCAGCAATCCTGCTCCTTGGAATATATCCTAGAGATATAAGAGCCATCACACGAACAGATATATGTACCCATGTTCGTTGCAGCACTGTTCACGATAGCAAAAAGATAGAACAACCTAGATGCCCATCAGCAGATGAATGGATAAACAATCTATGGTATATTCACACAATGGAATACTATGTAATGATAAAGAATAACGATGAATCTGTGAAACATCTTATAACGTGGAGAAATCTGGAAGGCATTATGCTGACTGAATTTAGTCAGTCACAAAAGGACAAATATTGTATAAGACCATTATTATAAGAACTCAAGAATAGGTTTAAACACAGAAGAAAACATTCTTTGATGGTTACGAGGGTGGGGAGGGAGAGGGTTATTTACTAACTAGATAGTAGACAAGAATTATCTTAGGTGAGGGAAGGACAGCACACACTACAGGGAAAGTCAGCACAATTGGACTAAACCAAAGCTCAGAAGTTTCTTGAATACAACCAAACACTTCGAGGGACAGAGTAGCAGGGGTGGGGGTCTGGGGACCATGTTTTCAGGGGACATCTAGGCCAACTGGCATAACAAAGTTTATTCAGAAAATATTCTGCATCCTACTTTGGTGAGTGGCTTCTGGGGTCTTAAACACTAGAGTGGCCATCTAAGATGCATCAATAGGTCCCAACCCACCTGGAGTAAAGGAGAATGAAGAACACCAAAGTCACAAGGAAAACATTAATCCAAGAGACAGAAAGGGCCACATAAACCAGAGACTGCATCAGCCTGAGACCAGAAGAACTAGATGGTGCCCACCTACTACCAAGCACCACCCTGACAGGGAACACAACAGAGAGTCGGAAAAGGAAAAGTTGGAGCAGGAAAAAAGAGGGGTTCAGAAGTCAAATTCTAGAAAAAAGACCAGAGTTAATGGTGTGACTGAGACTGGAGGAACCCCAGAAAGCATGGCCCCTGGACTCTCTGTCAACTCAGCGCTAAATCCATTCCTGAGGCCAGCTCTTCTGTCAAAGATTAGACTGGACAATGGCACATAAAATGATACTCGTGAAGAGTGTGCTTCTTAGCTCCAGTAGATACCTAAGACTAAATGGGCAGCTCCTGTCCTGAGGTGAGATGAGAAGGCAGAGAGTGTCAGGAGCTGATTGAATGGACACGGGAAATCAGACGTGAAAAGGAGGAATGTACTCTCACAGTATAGGGAGAGCAATTAGGGTCATATAACAATGTATGTATAAATTTTTGCATGAGAGACTAACTTGAATTGTAAACTTTCACATAAAGCACAACCATAAAATTAAATTTAATTTAAAAAAAAAAACAGCTTGTGAGTGGCCATCTAAGATACAGTCATTGGTCCCATTCCATCCACAGCAAAGGAGAATGAAGAAAACAAAAGACACAAGGGAAATAATAGTCCAAAGGACTAATGGACCACAGCTTCCACCAGCCTGATCCTGGAAGAACTAGATGATGCCTGGCTACCATCACCAACCGCCCTGACAAGGATCACAATAGAGGGTCCTGGACAGAGCCAAAGAAAAATGTGAAGCAAAATTCAGTTTCACAAAAGAAGACCTGACTTACTGGTCTGGCAGAGACTGGAAGAACCTTTGAGAGGGTGGCCCCTGGACACCTTTTTAACTCAGAACTCAAGCCACTCCCGAAGTTCACCTTTCAGCCAAAGATTAGACAGGTCTATAAAAGAAAAAAAAAACAAAAACAATGCATGTGAGGAATGTGCTTCTTAGTTCAATCATGTATACACGACTAAAAGGGCAACACCTGCCCAAAAGCAATGACGAGAAGGCAGGAAGGGACAGAAAAATGGGCAGATGGAAATGTGGAATTGGGGTGTGGAAGGGGAGATTGTTGACGCATCGCAGGGATTGCAACCAAAGTCACAAAACAATTTGTGTATAAATTGGTGAATGAGAAACTAATTTGTTCTGTAAAGTTTTACCTAAAGCACAATAAAAAAAATAAAATAAAATGTGCTTGTATGTGTGAATTAACAATATATTGGTAATAATTACAATATTTTATAGTTGGGTATCTTACCAAAGATCTAACTAGTCCAGTGATCTAATAAGAAGCTAAATAGTGTTTTGTTTCCCATTACTTTAGTAGAAAATACCCTTATATTACTCGTACATATAGGTGTGACAGGGTAGACTAACACCAGCTTCAGAATTGGTCTTGGCCTAAGAATTGGCACTAATAATGAACATTTCAAAAGACTGACACAAAAAAGGAATGAAATATTAGTTAAGAGCATGGGCTCTAGAATTATACTATCTCAGTTTAAATCTTGCCTTTGCTATTACAGCCACGTGACTTTAGGTAAGTTATTTAAACTTTTTTTTTTTGCATTGGTTTCTTCTGCAAATTGAGGTTAAAGATAATACCTTAGATGTTTGTTGTATGGAATGAATGAGATAATACATGGAAATTGAGTAAGTCAGTGTCTGTTACACAGTAAATATTCAATAAATGTCAACCATTATCATTATTTGAAGGTGCCATGCAAATATTTCAGAGCCATGGCTGAGCTAGAGAACTGATTCCAGTGCCAAGTCCTTGGTACAACATGCCAGGGCAGGCTCCCTCACTACAGGATTAAAATCTTTGTCTTGGCTTTGTTTTGTGTTATCTACTAATTCTTCTACCACTATTAGAGTAAGGATTTTAACTCTTTCTCTGCTTTCTGCAAACCCTACCAGTCATTTGGCTACCATTGGAACAAAACACCAAGAAAATCCCAGCTCTAGGGAATGACTGAACATTCATATTTTGGAGACTTAATGAAGTACAACAGTGCATTTTTATCTAGAGGTGGAGAGAAATGCATTCCCCATGTTACAAAAAGAAATGTCTAATGTCTAAAACACTAACGGAAAAAAAACAAAACAACAACAATAGGACAAAGAAAAAGTAGTCAATCCAACCAAAGTCAGGAGAGAAAGAGATAGGAGAAGAGAAAGGAGGGGAGATATGGTAAATAGAAATGACAGTACAAATATATCAACAATTACAATTATTTTAACATGGTAAATTCCACTATTAAAAAATTATCATACTGAATGAAATAAAATTAAAAAGAAATAGCATATTTAAAAACAATCTATACTTTGTAAGTGTGTGTGTATCACACTGAAACTAGACAATGTATAAAAGGCTAAAAATACAGTGAGGGAGTGCTCACATTGGCGGAAAATATTCTAAAATTGGAACCATACAGAGAATGATTATCCTGTCCCATACTGAAGGATGAAAAGCAAATTCAGGAAGTATTCCATATTTTAAGTAATAAAAATAAATTGAATAGCAGGACTGGACAAACCAAAGTATGGATACATTAATCCCAGAAACAATAAGATTCTTGATGAAAATTATTAAAAGAAACAAACATGAATAATTTATATAGATGAAAGAGACTTCTTCAAGAATATGTGAAGAAGTGAATCTTTATGTACCTAGCAGCATAGCTTTGAAGTGTATAAAGCAAACACTGTTCAAAATACAAGAACACTCAGACAGATCTCCCCTAGTGGGATCATTTAACACACTTCTCTCAGAATACAACCTGTCAAGTATAAGAAGGAAGAGAATGATTCATTTTATCGATATATTTGATTTACTAAAGGCATGTATATATATATATATGCATAATAAGCAGAAAATAAGTAAAAGTTTAAAATGTTATTTAAATAACTTTTATTAATCATGTATTATATAGCAAAACTCTTAATAACTTCAAAAAGTATTAAATGTAGCTGACACACCTACTTATAGCAATGCAATAAAACTATAAATAAACAACAAAATGAGAATATCCCACCATTATTCAATAGAAAATTAAGGACAAAAAACAGTCTTCAAATAACTCTTTCATTAAAAGGGAATTAAAACCTGAACTCACACTTTCTTTAGACATCAACAACAAGAGCACTCATACCAAAAGGTATGGAATCTGGCAAAAGTGGTGTTCATAGAAAACTTATTAATTTATTTATTTTATCAAATATGCTTTAAGCACCTACTACTATGAATCAGATGTTATTCTAAATGCCGATATAGATTTTTTTTAAACCAGTAGTACCATGGTAGAATGTATCAATAATAAAATGCACAATTTTTAAAAGACAGATGAGTTTTAACAAACATATACACTCAAGTAACAACCAATACAATCATGATAATAAAACGTTTTATTACTGCAGAAAGTTCCATTATGCTCCTTCTCAATCACTCTCACATCCCTGGACCCAGGGAACTGTGGTTCTGATTTCTAAAACCATAGACTAGCTTTGCCTGTTATTGTGTTGCATACAAATGGAAACAGTCAGTATGCACTCTTTTGTGTAAGATTTCTCTCTGTGTCTCTCCTCTCTTTCTCCTCATCTCCTTATATATCCATATGCCTGTGTATGTGTGTATTGATTCCATACTTGGATCATATATATATATATATAGAGAGAGAGAGAGAGAGAAACATATAACAACTTGGATCATACAGGTAGTCCTCAACTTATAACATATTCCAATTAAGAGGAACCGCACTTAACAATCATCTTTTTTTTTTTTTAACGTCTTATCGTTAGTAATATAAACAATATACAATGTTGCAGCGCATAATTTGCTGATATTATCATTCTCAGATGTTAACTTACAGATGTTCAAAGATCGGATTTATAAAGATGTTGATAATAAAAGGCAATAATAAAGAAAACTAAAAAAAAAAAAACCGAAGTATTCGACTTACATAACAACTGACCACAGAGTATCCTGTCATAAGTCATGGACTACCTGTATATATTTAGGTTTAAAATCCCAGTTCTTTTTTCTCATTTATCATGAGCTTTCTCCATGTTATTAATTTGTCTTCAAAGTCTGAACCCTTCACCTCCCACCTTGTTAAGCTCCAATCTTATTTGCTTCTTCATCATCCTATGATGCCCCCTTCATTGACTTTATCACACCTGGGGTTATTTGTTTAATATCTGTTATGGATTGAATTGTGTCCCTCAAAAATGTGTGCCAACCTGGCTAGGCCATGATTCCCAGTACTGTGTGATTACCCACCATGTTTTCATCTGATGTGATTTTTTCTTATGTGTTGTAAATCCTACCTCAATGATGTTAATGAGGTGGGATTAGCGGCGGCTAGGTTAATGAGGCAGGACTCAATCCACAGGGTTAGGTTGTGTCTTAAATCAATCTTTTGAGACATAAAAGAGAGAATTGAGGAGAGAGACATGGGGACCTCATACCATCAAGAAAGAAGTACTGGAGTAAACCATGTCCTTTGGACTCAGGGTCCCTGCACTGAGAAGCAACTAGTCCAGGGGAAGATTGATGACAAGGACCTTCCTCCAGAGCCAACAGAGAGAGAACGCTTTCCTCTGGATCTGGCACCCTGAATTTGGACTTCTAGCCTAGTAGATTGTGGGAGAATAAATTTCTCTTTGTTGAAGCCATCCACTTACGGTATTTCTGTTACAGCAGCACTAGATAACTAAGATAATATCTATATCCCATGTAACCTTCATGAAGGCTGCTTTATTTGCCACTGTTTTCTCAGTGCTTAGGGTCTAGCATATATTAAGTTCTCAATAACAGTACAATGGATTTGACATTTTATTTAGAGAAACATCACTCCAAGTATGTTCTATTTTTTTAAAAATTAAGGAAACCACTAGCAATATTTAAAAAACATGAATAACTACTGAATCATGAGAGAAAAATAAAGTAGAAAAGGTAATTTGTATAGCAAGACACCTTACTTTTCCTTTGCTTTCCTTATTTCATTCATGTATCCTAGCAACTTAAATAGTGATGCACACATAGTAGGCATTCAGTTAGCATTTATTTCGTAAATGAATTCATTAATTCAGCAGCATCCCTGGACTCTACCCAGTAGATGCCAGTAGTACTCACAACCCCAATGCATGACAATCAAGTTATGACAAATTTCCAAATGTCCCTTGTGGGGAACATTTGCCCCAAATGAGAACCACTTCTCTGAAGTGACAGAACACACACTTCACACGCCTCTCATGCAAGTGGTTAGACAAAATAAGATGAACTCATAGAAAGAAGGAAGCCATATGAGTAGTATCCCTTGATTTACAGAATAAGTTTGGTTCAGTCCACATAACACACATACAATAAGAGAAAAAGTTAGATAGGAGCCTAACTTTATATATTATAGAACTCAAAAAATTATCAAAGGTAAAGTTAATATCTTGGATCATAAGATGATGAAACATATGAAAGTAATAAAAACTACATCAAATTTTATTTAAAATCTAGAGTTTGTAAGTCTGTGTGTAATATATACATAGGTAATATATACATATATCAAAGTTATTAATTTTTAGAGTTATCACCACCAAAGGTATAAACCAGGTAAAGAATATATGCATATACACAATTAAAATAGTAGAGAATGCCCTGGACTTCAACTTTGGCTACTTTCTTATCCCAGGTCTTCTGACTCCCAGACCAGTGCTCTTCCTTTGTAACGAGTCTGTAACACTTGAATAACAGTCAGAAAATAATAGAAAGAATTAGAAAATTTGTAAAGTGTACCTTTTAGTAAAGAGTAAAAAATCAGAATCTTTTGTCTTCACTCAAAATGAGTTGGCCAAAATACTTAACAGAAGCATTGCAGGTGGAGGCACACTTGAAAATTATTTCTTGTTGAAATTCAAGATTTCCTATTGCTATTGCTTTCTAATGGTCATTGCTTATAGTAATGTGTTTCAAATGTTAGTGTATATCAGAACCTCCTGAGGCACCAGTGCCTTAACCTCAGGGATTCTAATCAGTAAGTTTGGTGTGAGGTTCAGAAATATGCATTTTGAGCAAGCTTCAAAGTATTCTGGTTCAGGGGACTTTAACAATTGAGTAAATAGGGTGATGTGTTCTGTGCAAACCAGTTGGTCTCTTTCCCCAGTAAATCCTGCTATTACCCAATGAGCTCATGAACAAAGTGGCCATGGTGGCAGGGATGGAGGTTATGCATGGGCTCAGCAACATGGACTTTCACTCTCCAAGGCCGACTTGGCTACAGTCGCTGATTCCTGCCCAATTTGCTAACAGCTGAGACCAACACTAAGCCCTCGTTATGGCATCACTTTTCGGGGTGATTAGCTGGCAACATAGTGGCTAGTTGGTTACATTGAACCCCTTCCATCCTGGAAAGAGCATCCTTTTTGTTCTTACTGGGATAATTTTGCCTGGATACGGATTTGCCTTCCCTGCATGTAATGCTTCTGCCAAGAGTACCATTCGTTGGCATACACAATGCGTTATCCAATGTCATGGTATCCCACACAGCACTGCCTCGAATGAAGGGACTCACTTCACAGCAAATGAAGTGTGGCAATGGCTTCATGCTCATGGAATTCACTGCTCTTACCATGTTCCCTATCATCCTGAAGCAGGTGGCTTGATAGAATGATGGAATGGCCTTTTAAAGACAAAATTAAGGTGCCTGCTAGGTGGTAATACCTTGCAAGACTGGGACAATGTTCTCCAGGAGGCTGTATATGCTCTAAACCAGCATCCAATATATGTTGCTGAGAGACTCAAGGGGTGAGTATGGGAGTGGCACCACTCACTCTTAGCCCTGGTGACCCATTTATAAAATTTTTATTTCCTGCCCCTGTGAATCTACGCTCTGTGGGTTTAGAGGTCTTAGTTCCAGAGGGAGGAATGTTTCCACCTGGAGACACAACATGGATTTCGTTTAACTGGAAGTTAAGAAAGCCACCTCACTGCTTTGGGCTCCTCATGCCTCTGGATCAACAGGCAAATAAGGGAGTTACCATATTGGCTGGTGTGATTGACCTTGACTACCAAGGGGAACCAGACTGATGTTGCATAAAGGAGTTGAAAAAGACTATGTCTGAAACACAGGAGATCCCTTAGGCGTCTCTTAATACTACCATGCCCTTTGATTAAAGTCAATGAAAAACTACAGCAAACCAATGCTGACATGACTGCTAATGACCCAGACCCTTCAGGAATGAAGTTTTCGGTCACCACACCAGACAAAGAAACACATCCAGCTGAGGTGCTTGCTGAAGGCAAAGGAGTATGGAATGGGTGGTTGAAGAAGGTAGTTCTAAATACCAGCTTCAACCACATGACAGTTGCAGAAACAAGGACTGTAATTGTTATTAGTATTTCTTCTATGTTTTTTTATACATATGTGTACATAGATATGTATCAATAGTAAATATCTTTGCTTTCTTCCCTCCCTTATCCCATTACTTATTATAAAATACAAGATGTA